TACAAGCATATCCAGCTCTCAGATGATGATAGAATGTAATAAGGATGATGCATTAGTAGACAAGTCCATATACATATTAATAGCTAACAACTGTCACTGAATACATTGTAGCAAAAACTTGAAATTATGCAGAGGATAATGTGTGTCAAGCGATCAGTCCCTCCACATAGTTGTTAAACGAGGAAAGGTGTGGGCGATAAAGATTATACACATGCAATCACCAGCAGCAACTTGTCAAGGATCAGGGAATCCCTCAGGAGACATGCAAAAAGAAAAACACAGAGCAGGGCGCCAGGCCACAAACAACATCCTGATCAGGTGCAGTGAGCAAGGACAGCTCTCTCTCCAAATCTCTCTACAAATCAGTGGAGCCAGCGATCACGGCAGGGAGTGGGGAGAGACCCAATGGAGATGGAGGTACACGGCGTCTCTCTGAGTGCTCCTGTCGAATAATGATTGACAGGTGCTGTGGATATCAGGTGGGCAGGCCGCAACATGTTTCTGAGGCTCCTTTATTAAGCAGGCATGACCCTGGAACAACAGGGAATATAAAGGCTGTCAAATCATCAGGAACCAATAGGGGGGGGGAGAGAAGTAGGAGGAGTCGAAAGACCAGAATAAAGGAAGGAAGGAAAACACAGTAAAATTCAAGTCAAACTGGATCAAAGAAAGGATGCAGCAATGGGCAATGCATAAAAATAAGAGCCAAAAATAAATATATATGATGTAATGGTCAAAAAATTTGCATTTTTGGGAAAAACAAATTCTGGGGCAAATAAGGATGGGGGGAGGGAAAGAGGATAGGAATGAGGAAAAGAAAAATACATTAAATAAATAAACCCTCCTCCCGCAGCTAGATAGCCAAATCCACATGACATACAACAAAATCATAAATGACAGTAAGTGTGAACAACAAGGTGAATAGTGCTAGTAATGAAAAAATATAATGAATAAATAAAATTTAATTGGATAAGGGAAAACAAATCAATAATAAAAAGGGGAAGGGAGAATGAGGAGGGGTAAAAGAAATTGGGGAAAAGGTGGAAAATATATAAATAAAATAAGGGGGGGAAGGAAGGGGAGGGGGAAAATACAAGACAACCTGGGTATTAAAACCCACAAGGTCCACTGGAATCACTGACAGCATATAAAAGGCACAATGTGTAAGAGACAAAAGCCTAACATATATATATATATATATATATATATATATATATAATAGGTGCAGAATATTGAAACTGAATAAAATGTACACTATTTACGTAATAGCTGATAAAAAATCTTAAATTCATACTACAGGTGAAACTCGAAAAATTTGAATATCGTGCAAACATTCATTTATTTCAGTAATGCAACTTAAAAGGTGAAACTAATATAGGAAATAGACTCATAGTACATGCAAAACAAGATAGTTCAAGCCGTGATTTGTCATAATTGTGGATTAGGGGTTTTCATGAGCTGTAAGCCATAATTATCACAATCTCAGAAAATTAGAATATTGTGAAAAGGTGCAATATTCTAGGCTCAAAGTGTCCCACTCTAATCAGCTAATTAAGCCATAACACCTGCAAAGGGTTCCTGAGCCTTTAAATGGTCTCTCAGTCTGGTTCAGTAGGAATCACAATCATGGGAAAGACTGCTGACCTGACAGTTGTGCAGAAAACAATCATTGACATCCTCCATAAGGAGGAAAAGATCAAAAGGTAATTGCAAAAGAAGTTGGATGTTCCCAAAGTGCTGTATCAAAGCACATCAATAGAAAGTTATGTGGAAGGGAAAAGTGTGGAAGAAAAAATGCACAAGCAGCAGGGATGACCGCAGCCTGGAGAGGATTGTCAGGAAAAGGCCATTCAAAAGTGTTGGGGACTTTCACAAGAAGTAGACTGAGGCTGGAGTCAGTGCATCAAGAGCCACCACACACAGACGGATCCTGGACATGGGCTTCAAATGTCGTATTCCTCTTGTCAAGCCACTCCTGAACAACAAACAACGTCAGAAGCGTCTTACCTGGGCTAAAGAAAAACAGACCTGGTCTGCTGCTCAGTGGTCCAAAGTCCTCTTTTCTGATGAGAGCAACGTTTGCATCTCATTTGGAAACCAAGGACCCAGAGTATGGAGGAAGAATGGAGAGGCACACACTGCAAGATGCTTGAAGTCCAGTGTTTTCACAGTCTGTGTTGATTTGGGGAGCCATGTCATCTGCTGGTGTTGGTCCACTGTGCTTCATTAATTCCAGGGTCAACGCAGCAGTCTACCAGGAGATTTTGGAGCACTTCATGCTTCCTTCCGCAGACGAGCTTTATGGGGATGCTGACTTCATTTTCCAGCAGGACTTGGCACCTGCCCACACTGCCAAAAGTACCAAAACCTGGTTCAATGACCGTGGGATTACTGTGCTTGATTGGCCAGCAAACTCGCCTGACCTGAACCCCATAGAGAATCTATGGGCATTGCCAAGAGAAAGATGAGAGACATGAGACCGAACATTGCAGAAGAGCTGAAGGTCGCTATTGAAGCATCCTGGTCTTCCATAACACCTCAGCAGTGCCACAGGATGATAGCTTCCATGCTACCCACATTGAGGCAGTAATTGCTGCAAAAGGGGCCCAAACCAAGTACTGAGTACATATGCATGCTTATACTTTTCAGGGGTACGATATTGTTCTATGTACAATCCTTGTTTTATTGATTGCATGTAATATTCTAATTTTCTGAGATTGTGGATTTGGGGTTTTCATGAGCTGTAAGCCATAATCATCACAATTATGACAAATCACGGCTTGAACTATCTTGCTTTACATGTAATGAGTCTATCTCATATATTAGTTTCACCTTTTAAGTTGCATTACTGAAATAAATTAACTTTTGCATGATATTCTAATTTTTTCGAGTTTCACCTGTAGAGCTTTATGAGATACACCTGTTCAATTGCTTGATAACACAAATTGCTAATCAGCCAATCACATGGCAGCAACTCAATGCGTTTAGGTGTGTAGAGGTGGTGAGAATGACTTGCTAAAGTTCAAACCAAACATCAGAATGGGGAAGAAAGGGAATTTAAGCAACTTTGAATGGTGCCAGGTGGGCTGGTCTGAGTATTTCAGAAACTGCTGATCTACTGGGATTTTCACGCACAGCTACCTCTAAGGTTTACAGAGAATGGTCCTAAAAAATGAAAACATCCAGTGATCGGCAGTTGTGTGGACAAAAATGCCTTGTTGATGTCAGAGGTCAGAGAAGAATGGGCATTCTGGTTGCTGCGACATTCAGATGGTAGGGTCAGAATTTGGCAATAACAACATGAAAGCATGGATCCAGGAGGGGTGCTCCTAAACTGGAACAGGCTGGATCACGTACATGTACGTGATCCAGCCTGCTCATGCCACCCACCCACACTATAATTACAGTGAGCAGGCAACAATTGGTTAAAAAGTATTTGATATTAAACAACCTTTTGTGTTCCAAGTCTGAGAAGACGTCCATCTTAGGAACATACCTACAAATTGAGCAATGCTCACTTTTAAACATACCACAAGGAGGCTTATGGGTAACATTGGTGGATAGAGGTTTTGGAACGTATTCACTATGTACCAACATGTTGCCTATAGCAAAAATGCATGGATTTGGACCTAGGATACGTCCCAGTCTCTTGTCCAGCATAATAATATGCAATGCCTCTCTAATAGTGGTTTTAACTTGCTCCAATAAGTCCTGTAAGCTGTTACTACTCCTACATTCTCCAACTTTTCTCTGTTTCTATTTTGGTTTTCATCGCCCATCTGATCTTTGTTCTTTGAATATATTAGAGAAGGGAATGGCCAGAGTTTTAAACTTCTGTTGTCACTGAAATGAGTATTCACATTAGAAGGATTCCTCACACTTTCTGCTCAAGAACTGTATAAATAAACCATAATAATTTAATTTCTGTGCTGATGACAATGGTTTTTAGAACTATTAGAGACAGCAAAAGTCCCTAGACAGCAATAAGAACTCAACAAAAGTGTTAGCCCTTTCACACTTCATTTAAATCTAAAAACCAAGTTTTGGCTAGAGCTTCACTTGGAGTCTCCTGCCAATGCTTTGCTTTAGTAGCCATTAAAGCTGAACTGAACTTTCAATTTAAATCCATTAACTAAATTCCAGGTGCATCAAAACAAAAGATTTGCATAGGTGGTTTTCTTTAAAAACCAGCCACAGTCTGCGTAGAAAAGTCTCTCCTGTTCCAGCATTCCACAAAGTGGGACTCTTGTTTTCTGCAGAAGTAGTGCCTTTTTGCAAAGATCTGACCAGCCCCTATTGAGTCAGAGCAAGAGCAAAGTGGGGAACTTTGCGGATTGCACAGACAGACATCAGCAGAGAGTCAACTGCTTCCACACAGAGAGCAAGGTTTCTTCTCTGCAGCTAATGACAGGTAACAGACTTCTCTACTCAGGATGTGAGAAAATGAACTGTAAGATGAACATTGAATATATTTAGCTAATTTAAAGTAAAGGTTCAATTGGGCTTTAGGGAACTCTGAAATATGCAATCTGTTACTTCTCATCTCTTATCCCAACTTCCTTCACCTAGCATTTGGTAGTATGTGTATTATTGCAAAAAATAATCACTGGGGTCTATTTATGAAAGAGTGCAGTGGTGGTAATGTGCTTTGACCACAAAACTTTGTTATCTTTAACATCAACACATTTTAAAGACTTCTTAGCAGTTACACAATGTAACAATCAGTATATTATGGACTTCACATACTGTAAATGGCACTTTAAATGAGTTGATTTTCTTATTATTTATAAAGCAACATTAGGTGTTACTAAACCCACAACAGTAAAATCAGTCTGTATATGCAGTAAAAAATGCTTGTTGTACTCACTCTGGAACCAAAGGGGTTAATCCTCTGCATTGTGTAAAAATGCTGTTTGTTCCTTACTTCTATGATCCTTCCCTTCTTCCAGTGTCCCCCTCTTATCTCCTGATAAGACCTATCATGAGGAGACACTCTGAACATGCTCAGTGTGGTGTGTATTGCTAGAGAGGTGTTTTTTTTTCTTGGGAGAGTGCATGTGATTAGCACAGGACCAATCAGCACTGTCCAGACAGAGGTCAGGTGTTCTGCATCCTCCTAGAGCAGAAAGAAAACTCCTCCTACAGGCTTTAACCCTTTGAGGACCAAGTTTTTAATTGCGTGTATCATCTGATTAAGAACTTAAAACTCTTTTTTTTTTCTTGGTTTGAGTCAAAATATTAGTTCTTATCAACAAACAACAAATGGATCTAGCTTTTTGCCAATTATTTCATGAAATGGCTTAGTTACAGCAACTGAAGTGTACGAACTTTAAAAACAAAAAAACTGATTCTTTTGGCATTCCAAAATCTTACGGTCCCCAAAGGGTTAACATGTGCTCTGCTGGACACTGGCAGAAGTCACAAGACTGCTATAACTGCTGATGAGAAAAGGTATTTAGCAGTTTATATTTACTAAAATAATTGCACTTCCATGTTCTGTGTATTGTGGGAGACCAGATATAGTGAATGCAGAGTCCTGTGTTTAGTAACACTTTATGCATTGTAATTAGAAAAATTACAATCTTCTTTATCAATGCAATTTACATGCTTCTTGTATTCTAAAATGAGAACTTTACTTAGCCCAAGATTGCCTACAAAAAAAAAGCACAAGGGACATTACTCACCATCCTTCTGAGAAGCTGTCACAGGCCCCACCAGGCCCCCCCTTACCACAAGGGAAACATGATCTATGAATGGAGTGGCTTGACATTTCAATCATCCTCCTGTCCTCCATTCATAGATCACATTTCCTTCATAGAAGATTTTTTTTGTAAGTAAACTTAGGGTTTACTTGTCCATTAACCTATAAAGGAAAAGCTGCATAAAGGTAAAATTAAATCCAAACAACAAACATCTAATTAAAAAAGACCAAACTTATATCTGAGCTGTTTTTCCCTGCCAATGGCAATATCTTTCAATCCATCTAATTCTGATGAACAGTTCTGCCACACAACAAAACCATAGCTTGCAGACAGGAGACCTAATTTGTTCTTTGCTGCAGTTAGGTAACACTTATAGGTCTCCTTCCATCCTTACACTGTGACTGAACAGTATAGGAGAAGCCGCAGAAAAGTGTAGGTACTTACACTGCTTGCATTTACAAAATACAGTATATATAAAACTAAACTGTATGTAGCTTCAGCGCTGTGTTCTGACAGTAGTATGGGGGCTTGTCGTCTGCTGCTGGAAGAAAATCAAATCAGGATGAGTGCTGCTCAGCCATTTACAGGAAGCTTTGTATTTTATCAATGAAGGTAGAGAGGCCAGTGCATGACATCACAATACCCACCTCAACCAATCAGAAGAGGCTTTGAATTCATTATAAAAAATACTTTTTGTTAAAAAAAAGGCTTCTTGTAAATGGCTGAACAGAACTCAGTCCAATTCTATTATTTTTCAGCAGCAGACAGGAAGTCTCTTTACCACTGCTGCAATACAGCATTGTATATTGTATGTATCTGATGATGCGTACAGTTTATAAAGTGCTGACAGCGACCATGTGTATTGGCAAAAAAAATAGTTTGGTTTGGCCAGCTTGGCCCAAATGATATCAAAGATGGAGTTAAGTTTAAAGTGTTACTAAACCCACAACAGTAAAACCAGTCTGTATATGCAGTAAAGCATGCTTGTTATACTCCCTGTGGAACCCAAGGGGTTAATCCTCCACATTGTGTGAAAAGCGTGTTTGATCCAGTCCTCTCTGATCCTCCCCTTCTGCTGCTGTCCACAATCCATCTGCTGATAGCACATAACTATTGGAGTCACTCTGCACATGCGCAGTTTGGTGTGTATTGCTAGAGATATTTTTAATTTTCTTTGGGAAGGTGCATGTGATCAGCACAGGGCCAATCAGCACTGTCCAGACAGAGGGTCAGGAGTTATACAGCCTCATAGGACAGTGAGAGGAGAATGAAAACTCCTCCTACAAGCTTTAACCAGTGCTCCACTGGACACTGATAGAAGTCACAAGACTGCTATATACTGCTGATGAGAAAAGGTATTTAGCTGTACATATTTAGTAAAATAATTGCATTTTCATGTTCTGTGTACTGTGGAAGACCAGATATAGTGAATGCAGGGTCGTGGGTTTAGTAACACTTTAATTTATCTATTAATGAATACTGAGCCGCAAAAATGTGCTTCTTTTATATCTGCTTAGAGCTTATCTCTAAATCTTGTGACTGCCCTCCTGCGCATAATAGGGTGCTTTTCCCCTATTAGTTATTATTATAGTAATAACTGGCAATATAGTGTTACAGTTAGTGAATGAATGTAATGAGTGACAAGGAAAGTGTGGCCTATACTCACACATATTACAACCTTTAACTCCATTGCTTTTAAAGAAATATTTTTTTATACAAAATACAGTCTTGCTGCAGTTCTCTTGCTTTAATTACTTTGATAATAATGATTTTAATTCAGCCCACGGATACATTGTTATACTGCTCTGTCAAGTTATCTTTATTAGCGGCAGCAGAGCTACATATATAACAATGTTATCAATTAACTGATAAAATTTGTTTCAGTGTATCAATGAGTAAACTTTTTTTTACCTTCACTACGGTATTCACATACCCAGACCTGCAGCAGGATGTCTATTGTATACATAGGCATATAGCTTATAAATGACAGCTGCGGCATGCTTCCCCTTCCCTGTCACTCATCGTCATAATTATCTTTATCAGTATAGATATAGTTGTTCAAAAGAAAATATTGCAGTTACAATGTTTCCTATGAGTATATGACTGCAATGATGAGTGACAGGGAATAGGATGCGCCCCATAATGCACTGAGCCTATTTCAATAAATCCAAAATCCAGCAATCTCTCACTATCTCACTGAGATGGCTTGCTCCAAAGGACTTTATTTTAAACTTCTATGCTGCAGCAGTAAAGCCAGCCATCTATAGGACAGCTTTACTAGTTAAAGTTTGTGAAAATGTGTTGAAAAAGATTAACCTCCAAGAAAACAAGAATGAAATCAGCATTAATGATGTGTAACCTTGGGCATGCGTCGCTTGCCTACACATCACAATATTATGGTGTGATTTATAGCACACAATATTAGCGCAAGACTACCATTTTGGCTGGATTAACTTTTGGGATTTTTTTTAAACATCTGAATTTATATGTAAATGTATTTGTAGCGATGTGACAGTGTGTTTAGGAGAGGCACACATTTGACCTAGGTCGACAGAAACTATAAATACAGCCCTGATCAATTTGCACAACCTTCTGTTCTGTCCCCCTTCTCTTTACCTAATATTTAAAGTGTTACTAAACCCACAGCAGTAAAATCAGTCTTTATATGCAGTAAAGCATGTTTGTTATAATCACTGTAAGGGGTTAATCCTCTGAATTGTGTAAAAAGGCCACTTGATTCTGTCTTCTCTGCTCCTCCTCTTGTTCAAAAGTCCTCATCTTATCTCCTGATAAGAGAGACTGAACCGTAACCATTATGTACATGCTCAGTTTAGTATGTATTGCTAGAGAGGTTTTTTTTTCTTGGGAGAGTGTATGTGATCAGCACAGGTCCAATCAGCACTGTCCAGACAGAGGTCAGGTGTTTTACATCATCCTAGAGCAGAAAGAAAACTCCTCCTACAAGCTTTAACATGTGCTCTGCTGAACACTGATAGTCACAAGACTGTTCTAACTGCTGATGAGAAAAGATATTTAGCAGTCTATATTTACTAAAACAATTTCATTTCCATGTACTGTGGGAGACCAGATATACTGAATGCAGGGTCCTGGGCTTAGTAACATTTTAAAGTCAGCTGCAAAGGTGGTCTGCCCTGTAAAAACATGCAAATTTGGCTGATATTAGTGTGGTTGTTTATGTGATAGTCGCTCTGTAGAATGATTGGTCAGGTCCTATGACAGCCATCCTTATCTATGGTTAGCCTAATGCTGGCTATACACATATCAAATTTCATCTGGTTCAGCAAAAACTGTCTGAATTTTTCTGTGTGCATAGCTCCCAGTGTATACCCAGCTTTAGCATCACACAAGCAAGAAAAGAATCATCTACATCATTTGCATCAATACCAAATAAACTGGTTTGTACCCACTTCTAGGCTTACATTGCATACTATTGCTGCTACAACCAGAACCACAATGACAAATCCAAAAAACAATCAGGTTTTCAAATAAAGAATCTGAACTAGGATCCAATTTTACAGACCTAGTGTGTTTGATCTGCAAGTAAACAGAACCCTATCAAATCAATGAAACTGTGCAAGCAGTAACAAGTCATATTAAAGTGGAGTTCCAGTCATTTTTGTGTTTATTAAAAGTCAGCAGCCACAAACACTGTAGCTGCTGACCTATAATGAACACACACTCACCTGTACCAGGGTCCAATGATATGCTCACCCACGCCATCTCTTCTCTCCCTCTTCTTTCCCCAGCTCCGGCATATCAACTGTAAGCACCAAGCTGTAACAGCTTGTGACTTCACAGCCAGGTGCCCACTGCGCATGCATGAGTCGTGCTGCGCATCCTGATTGGTCCAGCAGTCTTTTGGGACCTATGAAGTGCCCCAGAAGACTGCAGGAGGAAGAAAGGAGGATGAATCTCCGGCTCACTTTGCCGCAGTGAATGGAGTCAGAACTGGGAGCAGGTACCTATCAAAGCCAGGTATCCACCCCCCCCCCCAAAAAAAAAAAAAGTGCCAAATATGGTAGTGGAGGGGAGGAGGAGGCAAACAAGAGGAGCTTCCGCTTTTGGGTGGAACTCCACTTTAATACTAGACTCTGTGATTCACAAGGCTTGTAAAATTCTTGTAGAAGCAGCTGCTGGGACGTTCTTGCTGATGGAAGTACTCCCATGACTACATCTCAAAATTTTCCTACGCAAGCAAATATGCTGTTCACTTTGCAAAGAAGGCTTCACTTTGCAAGGGTATTTTCCCAAGAGTTTAGTGAATGTGGTGACATTTTGCAAAGCATACTCAATCATGTACAAGTAAAATAAAAAACAGCCTTTGCAAAGTGAGCAGACCATTTGTCTTTAGTAAATCAACCCCAAAGTGTAGGGTTTCAAGGCAACAGAAATGTTCTGCTGGGATAGAAAACAGTATAAATATATGGGGAGTCACAGAAAGTACAGCCGTACTTGCAACAACTTTAACAGGGATAAAACATGGGAAAATATACATGTATTGCAGAGTTGAACTTACCTGTTTTTTACCCAGATGTACTCTTTGATTGTCAGATCCTGGGCCACCATCCCATATCTGTGGCTAGACTGATCTATGCCATACACAGTCTTATATATGTTTAGAAAAGAGATTAGGGACTTTGTTGAAGCAGAACTAAATTCTCCATTATGCTCACCTCCACCTTCCATCAGTAAGGCTGTTATGTCCCATGCTGGCCACTGTCATCTTCTCCCTGGGTGCCAGGTTGTAGGCCACTTGTTTGGCCAGCAGGGGATAATGTAAATCCAGTGTATGGGCATGGGGTTCAGTCATTCCGGCACAGCTGAAATGCGCATTCAGCAGAAAACCAGCAGGCAGGTAAGTTTGTATTATTGCAGAAGAGCCACAGCAGGTATCTTCTGCAAAGAAAATTAAAAAAACTACCTGCTTGCAGCTTTCTAAAAGTAAAGTGTATTTCCACTTTAAGAGACAGTTATGCCTGCTTGTTGATCTTTGTCCTGAATACCCTGGTCACATCGGGTGATTTGCAAATCGTATGCCGAGTTGCACCCTATTGTCCGCTATTAGAGCGGTCATATCAGTGCGGTTCTGACTTGGTCAGAGCCGCACCAATTTCTAAAGCAGTACATGCACTACTTTTGTTGTGATTTGCATAGACATCTGTATCAGATGTCTTGCAAATTGCAACTGAAATCGGCAAGTCACCCGATTTTGCAATCGTGCGACTTCACTCTATGTCGCACAATTTCAAAATCGTCTTCGATGTGACCGGGGGCTAAATCCTTGCTAACAATTTACTATGTCCTACACCATCAAATTTCCATTTATATTTGCACAGGCCAAATCCATTTGGAAAAAAAAACATTTTGTGCTTTTTTTTCCCACATATATAGTAGTTAAGAAGCCGAAACCATAAAATGTCTATGGTTGTCTCCCTTCAGCTTTATTTTTTCAGATGTTATTTCAAGGGAATTAAAACCTCGTTATGCTTATAAACAGCCAACCAGATTTAATTTAGCCAAGGTTCACATGTTCCCTAATGCTAAAAATGTTTCTCCATTCACGGTACACATAGCTACCGTCACATTCGTAAACCTCAAAATTCTTCTCACTTGTTGGCATAGCAACGGTTCTTAATCGTTAGCCAATTAGATAATCACTGTATGAAAAGTGAAGTGTTGCAGAATCAGCCTCCGTGTCAAGACAAAAACAGAAGGCTCATGCTCTCAGGAACAAAATAAGCTTTTTCCTGGGTCAGATGAGACCAGAGTAGGATGGCATTTGCTTTCTCTTTACATCAGCCATGTTTTGCACCATGAGTATGCATAGACAGAAATCTATTTACACAGGGATCACTCTTGAAGCATGGCAGGTATCATTCGGGAATTAAGTGCTTTACACAGGATTATATATTATTGATATGTACTTTGCAGAGCAAGTTTCTTTGGAAAAATGCTCTATGCAATTTTCTCTTTTTTGTTTTTAACTGCAATTTCAATCATAATTAAACTCTCCAAAAAAAAAAAAAAAAAACCCTCTGACAGGTAGGATTTTTATGACAGAAGAGGCTCAATTGGTGTCTTCTGTCATAATGGCTTTATCCTGTCTATAAGCGTTAATGGAAATTGAACTTCAAATGTGCAGCTCAGCATACATTTACATTTGTGTTCTGATGATATAACTTCCATGCAGTCAGAACCTGGGTCACCTGCTGGTGGCGCTGTTGTTTCTGGAATCAAAGAGTGTAGTTCTGGTGGCCGCTGGTGGGTGTCTCCCTGCAGCTGGATTGTACAAGTAATTAGGCTGCACCTGATGTGGACTACTGGAGGGTATATACCTTTAAGCACACCCTTGACTTGAGTTCAATGCTTCAGTGTTCTTCCTGCACCTGATATGGACTGTTGGAGGGGTATATAAGTCCACCCTTTACTAGAATTAATGCCTCAGTGTTCTTTCTTCCAGTTGTGTCCTTGCCTGAGCCTCAGCCTGATCCGTGTTCCTGTACCTGACCCTGGGACCTGCTTCCTACTTCCAGCTCCCAGTTCCTGGCTCCCTGCTCCCCTTGTCTCCTGTCCTTGTCCTGCTCATGTGTGCTCCCTCCATTATGTATACAGTTAGGCTTTTATTTGGGGGTTTTGCACTCTTTTGTTTTTTTGTCATTACTTTGTTTATGGTTTGCTGATGTTGGAAGTGTGTCATTTGTCTTAGTAAACCTATTTTAACCTTATTCATTCTGGTTCCTGATTCCTTAAAGTACAACCAACTGATCTGATCATCCTTGCTGGATGCCTGCATGTGGTATCCCTGACACTTGTGCATAAGCAGGAGTGACTTCATTGTGGCCTGGCCAATCAAGTGGCTGAAGAGTTGGAACCCAAAAGGAAGATGGGGAGAAGATGGAAGTGCTGGGACAGCCAAGAGTTGGAAGGAAAATCTGATGCAAGTACTAGTACATTATTCCATAAAGCTCCCGGGGCCATTTTTATTTTATTTTACCAAGTTTATTTCACCTTAATGTTTTACCAGAACCACTCCATGATATTATTATTAGGCACAGGGAGAACGTGCAAACTCTGTGCAGGTAGTGTCGTGGTTGGGATTCAAACCGATGACCCTAGTGCTGTCTGGTGAAAGGCTAACCACTTAGTTACTGTGCTGCGGGAACATACAATATATATATAATAACAATCTTCAAAAGAAAGATAAACTTCAGGCAGAGGTATGGATCATAAAAGGAATGTGGACCATGATAAATGCTTAGTGGCCCCTGCTCAATCTAACAAGGTTCGATGAATTGGATGCCGCTGACTAGAGAGGGTGCAGGTTGGGTTAAATTAGTTCAGACCCAAAGAATGCTTTAGAAATCGGAAGAGATAGCCCAACTGTTGCACACCTCAACTGACCTGAGTGGTTAGCAGATAAAAACAGCTTCAGCTCGATTCATCCAAGCCATACCTCCAACATGTTTTGCCCTGCCCCCACCTCCATGATTGAGCCCTGGGGATGTGGCAAAACATGTTGGGGGCATGGCTTGGATGAATCGAGCTAAGGCTGCTTTTACCTGCTAACCACTCGTGCCGGGCTACCTCTTCCAACTTCAAAAGGAATATGGTGTTTAAATATTTACAAACACAATTTTTTAGTTTCAGGACATCAATTAATATTTTAATGTTATTGTTATTTTAGTTGATTAAACATTGACTATTATATTTCATATAACCTCTTTTGGCTTACCAGGTGAGGTTCAAAAGGCAGCGACTGCTGGTCTATTGCTATGCAGGTCTATTCACAACACATACAGTATGTGCAGGTGAATGACTCAGAAGAGCAGCTTACCCCCTCTCTTTGCTAGCTCTTATTAACCAAATGGATGTTTTAGTAAATGTTTGGTGCATGTTTAGTAGACAAGGGCAATAAACAAATGAAATGGCAGTGCTGAGCTTTTCTATTATAAAATCCAGTATGTTTTGCATGTGTCATGTAAGTACCCTGTTTTTATGTCTATTTGTAAAATAAGTGAAATAATAGATCCTGCTTTTCTTGTGTTGGGCATGGCTGATGGTCTGGAGGCTTC